TTTAAGGTTTCAATTTTGCTTGTTAGTTATCTCATTTATTGTATCTGAAGATATGGAAGTTAAAAAGATGATATTGACATGCCATATCATGCAATTAGCCTAACCTCTTATTAGTATTTGTTCTGACGCCTATCTTGTGTTTTTTTTATACAGATTTTTAACGAGTTCAATGCTCGAAAGCCTGAGGAAATAAATATCTTCAGTGGAGTGACTAAGAACTACCTCTTTATGGGAATAATAGGAATTACATTAGTACTTCAGGTGAGAGGCCAGTACATTTTGGTTTAGGGTTCTTAGTTTTACTATCATACAATTACTCACCATAACTGTATTTGCAGATACTGATCATTATGTTCCTCGGAAAGTTTACAAAAACGGTAAGACTATCATGGCAGCAATGGCTTATATGCTTGGGTATTGCCATCGTCAGGTATGTAAACTTGATGATATTGCTTATATTTTTCTAAACTGGCTCAAGTTTGGCTAATGAAGACCATGGGAGTCTTAGCCTCATTATTGTACCACCTTGAGAACCACAATTGACAAAAAAATGAAATTAGTTGCCAGTCATTTTTGTTTTGCAATTTAAATTTCTCTAATTTTGATTTTATTTTAATTGGCATGGATATTAAAGAACTACCAAATTACCTTGATCTCCATGTTACATATGATGGCATGAACATGATAACCTTTGTCTCTTAACATCAACTGTAAATAGGGCCTTAGTAGTGTCTTGTGTCCCTTGAGGTTCTTCATAGTTCATTCAGGTTGATGGTCATATACCATGCATCCATCTTCTTTACATGGTACTTAACTGCCTTTATTTTCTGACAGTTGGCCTCTTGCTGTTATTGGAAAACTAATTCCGGTCTCGAAGACACCATTGGGCGAGTTCTTCAGTCGGCCAATTAAGCGATGTAGAAATTCTCGTAACACCTAATGCTCGCCTCTCTAGTTGTGTTCTGTATGCATGCCATCAAACCATCAGTTTCAGAAGATTTTTTGGAACTTGAGAGAAGGATGAATTGAATCCTACGTGAAATTATGAGAAAAATCGATGATTCTCGTTCTCAAAACTCAATCTTTTGATTTCTGTGGATTGACATTTGGCCAGGACGAATTGAATCCTTCCCCCTCCCCCCTTTCTCCGGCCCACAAGAAAAAGAAATTGCTCATTTTTGGCCTGAAAGCCTCTATTTTCTTTTTCCAGGGTTATGGTTACATAACTTACATTATGGCATGACCTTACTTTTTTCTCTATAGATTTTCTGTGTAAGAGTGGACTCGTCACGGATTTGTATTCAACTAGTAAATTGCTATGTAATGCATTGCCAAGTGTAAATAGAAAGCTGTTATTGTGCAGCTCTGGAGCAACTTTTTTGGAGCTTCCTTCACTTGAAAATCTTTTTCTTTGAAAATTGATTTTACACAAAATAGAAACACTCATTTGAAAATTATTCCATTCTCCCTTCACAATGTGTTGCAGTTCCATTTAAATGATTGATTAATTTAGGTTACCTTGTATAGATCATAAGTAACTCATGCATACGATAAGCTAAAAGCCAATCTCGACTTTGCGAAAGGGGATTTGATTTGAGATGTTTTCCAAATTATTGTACTCCAAATGCCATACAAAAAAACAAGGATGAAAAATACGAGGCTTACGATAAAAATCCTAATGTATAAAACTACAAGAAAAAGGTATCTATTTCTTGACCTGAAAGAATTTTTGTCAATAATGAAATAAAGAATTTAAATCAAAGCAATTGGGTTAAACTTGATGAATTTTTCACATCAACCCAAGCAGTAAAAGTGATCATCTAAACCGAGCCTTGAAGATTCACTGTGCAGGTCTTGTTGGTAATTATCACCAACACCATCAACCATATTTTGCTGCTGCTGATTTAGTTGCTGTTGTGCATTGTAAAATGCTATTTGAGCTTTTGTCTTGGCCATCTCAGATTGAGCCTGAAATAAATCTTGTTGCAATTGAGAAACTATTTTAACACACCCATAAATTGGATCTTCAACACGTACTGATGCTTCATAAAACATGCTGTCTGCTGCTGCTTCTCTTACATGGACTGGAAGTTGCTGCAATTCACATATAATTACATGAATAAAAATCATTAACAGATTCAGTAAATCTCATATTATCTTCAAATACAAACAAGGCTTTCAACTATTTCTCTTTGTTTTTTTTTTTATAATGTATTTATAAAAATAAATAAAAAACATTTGGGGTTAAAGTAGTAACAAAAAAAAATTCATAGGGATAAAAAAAACATCTACATTACTAGTGGCCATTTGTAATGCTTCCAAAGTTGGTTTGGATTGCATACGTGAGTTAGGCGAGTTGGCCAAGGCAATGAGCCCGCCTTCTTGCACCTAAGTTCAAATCCCCCTTCCCGTAGATTAGATTAGTTTAAAGTAGTTTAGACTATCGTTTGTATAAAAAACAGTTAGTCTCGTATGAGTTGTGTGTAGCCAAATGATGAACAATACTTAAGCAGTTACCTTACCAACTAGGATATACAAATGTAGATAGAAAACAGAACATTTCTGAGTATAATTGCTTTCAAAAGAAAGATTTTTTTGACAGTGCATCCTAATTAATTGTTACCTGTAGCATTTTGGTAATGTTGCCGGCACCAAAGATCTTATGAACACAAGCAAATCTCTCTGGATTGGATGAGGGGAAATAGGGTGCCAGAACACAATCTTGAGCGCATTTTCTTCTCAAAAATTTGCAACCTGCACATCTTGTTGGATTGGCCATTAGATTATAGCAGATACTTTAGAATCTATGCAAAGATTGTTTCTCTAAATTTTCTAGGAAATCAAATTTGTGTGAATGATTTTGTTATGTGTCAAAGATTTTGTTCCCTATATATATAGATTAGGTGATCATGGATCCGTTTGAATATATTGAACACAATCACAAATTCTTAGGGAGCTAATTAGCCTAATATTGGAAACAACACAACGGCTAGTTTCTTTTGTCAAAGTTTCACACATTTTAGGAAAGATTTGATTGAAGGCAATGGAAGCACAAATTCAATCATTTTGAAGTTTTCCATATGAGTTATATTAAAAGAAGTAATTTATATTTTATTATTATTTTTTTTTTTAAAAAAACCAGGACCATGGCGCCAACAAAAACTAAAATGTTGAGTTGGCAACTTTAGATTAAATGTGGGCTGCTTTGTCTTTCTTGGAAATTTCTTTTGTCTTTCTGGGAAATTTGGGGTCAATAGAAATCACCCCTTGACCAAAACAAACAAATTCTAATAATCTCTCAGATCACGTTGTCACAATTTGTACCCTAGACTAGTAGGACAAAAACGTGAACTTTTTGTTTTTGTTTTTATTTTTAAGTTTAACCGGTTAGCTAACCATTTCACACTCATTTAATAAATATTTTTCCTTTTAGCATTGTAATTAAGTAAGAGTATTTTTTTATTTATACAAAGCGAGTAGGAGGAATCAAACCTAAGACCTCACGTGCAAGGTAAATGCTCTTAATTTGTACGGTACATACAAGATGTTTTAGGTATTTTAGTATATGTACTTGGGGCAAATAAAACTTGTTAATTTACCGTTGTATTGGTAATATTATTGATAAAGCTTCGATTGTTGGGGTTTATATCCCTGTTAACACTTACTAATTAACCTAGTTTGTTCTTCATTTGCTTTCCTAGTTTGTGTAGGTATATGCATGCAGGTAACCCAATCAGTTTCCAACTTTATTTTGAAATCCAAACAGAAGACAACTTGTTTGACACGTTAGAAATAAAAAACGAAAACAGAAACTTGTATTCCTCTCTCTCTCTCTCTCTCTCTCTTGTCCCATCTGATCTGCTGCCATTGAATCTCTGCTACCAAAGCTATCTTCATCCGCAATAACACACGGTAAGCTCCTCTTCAAGCCTTGTCTCTGCTTCTTCTTAGTGTTTTAACTCTTTCTCTGTTTTGGAAAATCATATAGTTATTTTTTTCTTCTTCCCATAATAATCATATACTGGGTTGAATTAAACACTCTGCTAAATTCCTTTATTTAATCTTTTACCGTTCATGGTGTAGCCAACTGGTAAACTAACTTGACTTTATAAATTTTTACTGAATATGAATCACTGAGCTTTTTGTTTTCTGCTTGAATTGATAATAGAATTGAGGATTTTGTTTGCTCTTATATTTTTGGCATTGAAAGTTTCGCACAATTGTGTTATACTAGCTCAGGTGCAGTTTCTTTGTAAGTATTATATGCTTTAGGTATGTATGTGGGGTTCATAAACATTCTTTTCACCTTTCAGATGGAAAATAGGTCGACTCGCATAGCGATATTGAATCCTGACAAGTGCAAGCCCAACAAATGTAAGCAGGAATGCAAAAGGTGTTGTCCAGTCGTACGTACTGGTATGTTATGTTACTTTTTTTCATAGAAATCACCCCTTGACCAAAACAAACAAATTCTAATAATCTCTCAGATCACGTTGTCACAATTTGTACCCTAGTAGGACAAAAACGTGAACTTTTTGTTTTTGTTTTTATTTTTAAGTTCAACCGGTTAGCTAACCATTTCACACTCATTTAATAAATATTTTTCCTTTTAGCATTGTAATTAAGTAAGAGTATTTTTTTTATTTATACAAAGCGAGTAGGAGGAATCAAACCTAAGACCTCACGTGCAAGGTAAATGCTCTTAATCTGTACGGTACATACAGGATGTTTTAGGTATTTTAGTATATGTACTTGGGGCAAATAAAACTTGTTAATTTACCGTTGTATTGGTAATATTATTGATAAAGCTTCGATTGTTGGGGTTTATATCCCTGTTAACACTTACTAATTAACCTAGTTTGTTCTTCATTTGCTTTCCTAGTTTGTGTAGGTATATGCATGCAGGTAACCCAATCAGTTTCCAACTTTATTTTGAAATCCAAACAGAAGACAACTTGTTTGACACGTTAGAAATAAAAAACGAAAACAGAAACTTGTATTCCTCTCTCTCTCTCTCTCTCTCTCTCTTGTCCCATCTGATCTGCTGCCATTGAATCTCTGCTACCAAAGCTATCTTCATCCGCAATAACACACGGTAAGCTCCTCTTCAAGCCTTGTCTCTGCTTCTTCTTAGTGTTTTAACTCTTTCTCTGTTTTGGAAAATCATATAGTTATTTTTTTCTTCTTCCCATAATAATCATATACTGGGTTGAATTAAACACTCTGCTAAATTCCTTTATTTAATCTTTTACCGTTCATGGTGTAGCCAACTGGTAAACTAACTTGACTTTATAAATTTTTACTGAATATGAATCACTGAGCTTTTTGTTTTCTGCTTGAATTGATAATAGAATTGAGGATTTTGTTTGCTCTTATATTTTTGGCATTGAAAGTTTCGCACAATTGTGTTATACTAGCTCAGGTGCAGTTTCTTTGTAAGTATTATATGCTTTAGGTATGTATGTGGGGTTCATAAACATTCTTTTCACCTTTCAGATGGAAAATAGGTCGACTCGCATAGCGATATTGAATCCTGACAAGTGCAAGCCCAACAAATGTAAGCAGGAATGCAAAAGGAGTTGTCCAGTCGTACGTACTGGTATGTTATGTTACTTTTTTTCTTTCTTTCTTTCTATTTGTACGTTTATGTCTATGATTGCTTATATACATTATACATAAATAAGAACTTGTCACGTCAATTGGTAACCAAAAGTTGGTCTATTATGCGCCTCTCATATTATAAGATTTTGCTTTTTAATTAACTTTAACAAAACCAGAAATTACTTTCTTAAGCTCTCGGTCAAGGTTCGATTCCCTACATTGTATAAGAAAATGCTTTCTTACTTTCTAACCATAAATGTGCAGGTAAATTATGCATTGAGGTCTTACCTACGTCAAAGGATGCTCGTATCTCCGAAGAGTTGTGCATTGGTTGTGGTATATGTGTTAAGGTGAGTGAAGATTGTATTTGGTTTGGTTTAAATTTCCTGTGTTTTATCTACTGAAGTTGTTTTTTTAGGGGAGCTATTCGTTTGACTCTGGCTATCATGTGATGTGATAATGCAGAAATGCCCATTTGGAGCAATTGAAATCATCAACTTGCCAAAGTCATTGGACAAATATACAACCCATCGTTACGGTTCGAACTCTTTTAAATTACACAGGTCAGTTAATTCCTCACCACTTTGTTGTGATCTTTGATCAGTTTCAGGGTTTAGTGTTTTGAAGTTAATATAAATTAAATTGTACATAATTACAGGTTGCCAGTCCCTAGGCCAGGTGAAGTTCTTGGTTTGGTTGGGACTAATGGCATTGGGAAGTCAACTGCCCTCAAAATTTTGGCTGGCCAGCTGAAACCGAATTTGGGTCGTTTCAATGTAACACTCTTTACCTATATCTCAATCTTCTTAACATTTTCCCCTCTTTGCTAATTACTATGTGATCACTTTCTCAAGCTTCGTTAATTTGATGCATTATTTTTTATGACTATATATCTGGATGCTTGTTTTGCAGAGCCCTCCAGATTGGCAGGAAATCTTGGCTTACTTTCGAGGATCTGAGCTGCAGAGTTATTTTATTCATCTCCTGGAAGATAAATTGAAGGTGCACTTTGATTTTGATGCTCATGTCCTTAATAGCATATGATGTTAAAATTTATCCTTCATGTTCTTGTTTAGCTCCTTTTCTTCTTGCGAAGTGCATAGTTGTCTTACATGCATTTTCTTTTCCTTCAACAGGCAATTATCAAACCCCAAGACGTCGAAGACATCCAAAGACAATATGATGGAAAATCAGTAAGGGAGGTGCTCGAACAGATCGATGAGAGGGGGATGAAGGAAGAACTCTGTGTTGATCTCGAGCTAAACAATGTTCTGGACAGTAATATAGGCTATTTATCCGGTGGAGAGCTTCAGAGATTTGCCATTGCTGTTGTTGCCATGCAGAATGCAGATATATATATCTTTGACGAACCTTCAAGTTTTCTTGATGTGAAGCAAAGGCTTAAAGCAGCCAAAGTTATCCGATCTTTGATCAGGCCTGATAGGTTTGTTTCCATATCTCTATCCTCTTGCTTCAATTTTCCATTGCTTATGTTTTTAGGATCATTTCTTGCTTACATAGGTATTTTTCTTTATGTTTTTTCAGCTATGTGATTGTTGTGGAGCATGATTTGAGCGTTCTAGATTACTTATCAGATCACATTTGTTGTTTATATGGGAAACCGCGCGCATATGGAGTTGTAACTCTACCATTCTCAGTTAGAGAAGGAATCAACATCTTCTTGTCTGGATTTATTCCTACAGAAAATCTACGGTTCCGGGATGAATCTCTGACTTTCAAGGTATTTAAGATTATAAATTTTGTCATTGAAAATGCTGTTTTTTACTCAATCAGTATTTTCTGATTGTGTTGTTGCCCCTTGTCTAGGTTGTTGGGACTCCACAAGAAAGTGGTGACGAAATCGGGACGTATGCACGGTATAGATACCCATCAATGGCTAGAACTTTGGGAAAGTTCAAGCTTCAAGTGATTGAGGGTGAGTTTACAGATTCTCAGATTATTGTGATGTTGGGTGAGAATGGAACAGGAAAGACCACGTTTATCAAAATGCTGGTATGTCTTTCTTTCCCACTTTGTTTTTGTTCAATCATATTTTCAAAATGCTGATTTGTAGAGTCACGATATATATTGGTTCAAATTGTAGGCCAATCACTTCAAAAATAATTCTAATGTGGAGATACCTAAGCTTCATGTTTCGTACAAGGCTCAGAAAATTAGATTGCCTGCATCAACTGTCAGAGACTGCCTTCATACGAAAATTCGTGATTCAAGTACTCATCCCCAGTTTGTGACAGACGTGATGAAGCCTCTTCAAATCGAAGAATTGAAGGACCGCGAAGTCGCAAATCTTTCTGGTGGAGAGCAGCAAAGGGTTGCTTTATGTCTATGCCTTGGACAGGTAACTGACTTTTACTTTATGTTTATGATGCATCTGCTTTGAAGCCATGCAACCTAATAATGTATATCTCTTTATTTTTGCTTGATGTTGCAGCCTGCAGACATATATCTGATAGATGAACCAAGTGCATATCTTGATTCGGAGCAGCGAATCGTTGCAGCAAAAGTCATAAAGAGGTTCATCCTCCATGCTAAGAAAACCGCATTCGTGGTTGAGCATGATTTCATTATGGCTACTTACTTGGCAGACAAAGTTATTGTCTATGAAGGAAAGCCATCAGTTGACTGTATTGCAAATTCTCCAGAGTCATTGTTGAGTGGGATGAATCTCTTCTTATCTGTAAGTCTTGCAACTTTTTCAAGTCACCCCTTGCATATACTTCGGCCTCCAATTGAAAGTAATTTTTGTAGTTCTAGGATCTGATTCTCTCTTTGTTTTTCCAATGTGGCATTGCAGCAACTGGATATCACATTTAGACGTGACCCTACAAACTACCGCCCAAGAATCAACAAATTGAACTCAACCAAGGATAGGGAGCAAAAAGCCGCCGGGTCCTATTATTACTTGGACGACTAAACTGGAACACTGCCCAACATATTCGAGACAACAAGTCCCCTCTCCAAGGGCGGGACTCTATGGGACAGGACTCGACTAAGCCCCAGCCACCAAACGGGAAAGGTACGGTACACTCATTCCGACAATGCCCAAAATTCCTCTGTTCATGTTGTGTATTTATGACATTTTGATCTTCGCTGCATTTGTACTTTGCAGTTCTGCAAGTTTTCAGAGGGCAGGGCATTGATAGATAGAGTCTAGTCAATATCAATAATAATCCTAGAAGGTATAGATGGTTCACGACTCATTCCAACAATGTCGAATATTCCTCTGTTTATGTCATGTACTTATGAAATCATCTTGATATTTATTGCAGTTTTGCTAACTTTTTAGAGGACATCGATACAGCAACAACAAGGCTGAGTTACCAGCATGTTCACAAATGATTGGAGAGAGAGTCCTTTGCCTGGTGAAGAGATTGTTTTGTTTTTTTTGTTTTTTGGGGGCTTGAATGAGTGTGTTCAGCCTATGTGACCAAATTCAGTACATTTTCCCTATGTTTTGTGGCCTCTCGTGGCATCAAATATTGTGTTTTGACTAAGTGCTTTGTTTTTGTGTTTGACTAGAATGTTATTTGAGGAACGAATGAAGTTAATTTAACGTAGCCTAATATTGTATTTGCCTAAATGCTTTTTGTTTTGGTAATTAGCACAAAACTGTAAAAACATGATTTCTGAAGTACTCTAGCTTATTTGTCCCTAAATCGTGGAAAATTACTATTTTAGCCAATTTTACTTAGGGCTCGTTTGGGATTTCTTCTTTAGAAAGCACTTTTACTTACAAGTGCTTTTGGAAATGCTTCTTGGAAAAACACTTGGGAGTGCTTTCTGAAGAAGCACATGGCAGGTGCTTCTGCAGAACGTGCTTCTATGGTCCAAAAGTGCTTCTAAATTTTTCTATCAAACTCTATCAAAAGCACTTTTGGTTGTCAAAAAGCGCTTTTAATTGTTCCAAAATCCCCCCCAAACAGGCCCTTATAAATAAACCGCCTAAGAGGTTAACTAATTTTTAGCACGAAGAGAAATGACACGACACTAACACAACAAATTACCACAAATTGTCACACCTACTATATGATATATCTAATGAAATTACCATAATGTGTTTTTAAAAAAAAAGGTTTTTGTTTAATTTTGTCAACCAGTGGTCTCCCCTCCACCGTCCAAAACTCTCGTGCAACTCCACACCCCCCTCCCTATACTCAGCAGTCATTCAGTATCTTCTCTGCTCTGCTCTGCGCCCCTTTATCTCTAGCTTGCATTTTCAGTCTCAGCTGCTCTGCGCTCCCTTCCTCTCAATCTCCCTTGCCACTGCGATTTCATCTGCTGCTTCGTTTTTCTCAGTAAGTGTTTACTGTATGTACTTTCTTCTTGTGTTATCTGGGTTCGTGAAAAATTGAAAATTATCTCTCTCCGAGAACAAAGAATAGCTGAAAAGGGTTTTGATTATTGTTTGAAATTCAGTAAGATTGTTAGTATTAATTCAAAATTGGCACGGCAGAAACTCATTTGTGGTGTGGATATGGATCAATTTTAGCTTTCTGATAAATTGCCGGTTTGCTGTTTACTTTCAGTTGCGCGATATTTTATAGTTTATTTGTGTTTCCGTAGCATATTAATATGTTCTCTTCAAGCCTTTCGGGGATGAATGAAATGAGCACTTTTAAACTGCACCAAGTTATTTTACGTCTCCAAATACATCAATTTTGCCAGATGTATGTTCAAATACAATGGTTTCACGTTTTAATTCTTTGTGTAAAAGGTTTCCATGCAATCTAAGGTTGGATTGGATTGCAAACGTAACAAACTGACCAACATGGATTGGATCTAGTTTTGCCCAAATTTAACAGCTTTGGGCCCATCAACAACCCTAGTTTGATCCATTCAATTGAGGAAGAGAAGGAAACCATAGGCGCATGTGCACTACATGCATAAGCAAATATAGGCAAAGAAAGAGAGCAGATGCCTCTTAATTCTAGCTCTGCCCGTGTGCATTTGATCTTTTGCTTAATTTGATCCGTGGATTTTATGTGGATAGAAGAAGATTAGGAGATGGCAGACCGGTTGACCCGTATAGCAATAGTGAGCTCTGACAGATGCAAACCCAAGAAGTGCCGGCAGGAATGCAAGAAGAGCTGTCCTGTTGTCATGACTGGTATATTTTAGTTACCCCTCCTTTTATTATTTCCCTTATATTTTTTGTATAATATATATACATATATCTGTTGCTATTCATAAAGAAATTAAAATATCAGGATTTGTTGATTTACTCAAGATAATCATTTTCTTGTTTGTTAAAATAATTATGATCTTGCTATTATGTTTCTTTAGGGTTTGTCTGATGCAAAATTCTTGATTACTTGGAATCCTCAGCTGATTGTTTATCATGTGAACTACTATTAATCATAAAATGTATTATTTGTGTTCAAATGGTCATGGCTTGATGATTATGACAAGTAACTGAAAGGAAATAAAGAAAATTGAATGCCTTTTTCGAGGAGAAACACCCAGAAACTTTATTAAGCTCGAAGCTAGTCATTCAAAGGGATGGCATGGTATATAAAAGCAAGGAAAGCTTCTAATAAAGGCTACTAATACAGGCATGAGCTCCTGCATATATTGAGGCAGCTCCAAACAGGTTTAATGTTTCTGTATTGGTGAGTTCCTGTTATGTATTATCATTGCGACTATGATTACTTTTACGTAAATGAGATGCTTTTTGAGTTATCTTCTCTTGAACCAGACTTTATATAGATATATGGTTGTACTGTATTGCTACAAATATACACTGTCTTACTTTATCAATCAATCTGAAGGTAGACTATGTATCGAGGTTACCCTGGCATCCAAGATTGCTTATATCTCAGAAGAATTGTGCATTGGGTGTGGTATCTGTGTTAAGGTCTGTAAAAAGTGTTGTTACTGTCATTTTTCTTCTTCTCTACAGTAGTTGTTTTTTAAAGGCATTCTTTGGACTCTAAACCTGTCTGATGATGCAGAAATGCCCATTTGAAGCAATCCAAATCATCAACTTGCCAAAGGATTTAGACAGAGATACGACTCATCGCTATGGGCCTAACACTTTCAAACTACACAGGTTAGCTCCTGACCACATTATTAGCAAGTGGTCCCTTTAGCATTTATGTGGTTTGGGATAACATAGATTTACAATTTCAGGTTACCAGTCCCAAGGCCGGGTCAAGTTCTTGGTTTGGTTGGAACTAATGGCATTGGGAAGTCAACTGCCCTCAAAGTTTTGGCGGGAAAGTTGAAACCAAATTTAGGTCGTTTCAATGTAATACTCTGTACAAAACTTCCCCCTCCTCTGATAAGTTTATAATTTTTTCAAACTCGTTTTGGTGCATTGTTTGATTTTCTTATCTCGACGGGCTTTTTCTTCTTCAGAATCCTCCAGATTGGCAGGAAATCTTGACCCACTTTCGAGGATCGGAGCTGCAGAATTATTTTACCCGTATCCTGGAAGATAATTTGAAGGTACCATTTGATTTTGATGCTCGTAACCTTTCTTACTTATATGGAATGAGTTTAGCTTCTAGACTAATAAAATTTTGTCTGTTATGTCCTAGGTTTATTTTATAGCTGCTGAGTTAGGTTCGTTTTTGGACATTTAATAAGTTTTCTTACTGCTAAATGCATACTTGTAATTTTTTGTATTTAACAGGCCATTATAAAGCCCCAGTACGTTGATCACATTCCAAAAGCAGTTCAGGGGAATGTTGGGGAGGTGCTCAACCAGAAAGATGAGAGGGATATGAAGGAAAAACTATGTGCTGATCTTGATCTGAATCAGGTTATAGAGCGTAATGTAGGGGATTTATCAGGTGGGGAGCTTCAAAGATTTGCCATTGCCGTCGTTGCCATACAGAATGCAGAGATATATATGTTTGATGAACCTTCAAGTTATCTTGATGTGAAACAGAGGCTTAAAGCAGCACAAGTTGTCCGATCTTTGCTCAGGGCTAATAGGTTTTTTTTTGTATATTTATCTTCTTCCCTCAAATTTTCATTGCAGATTTGTTGGGTTCCTTTTGTTGATTGTCTTCCTGTATGTTTTGCTAATAATTATATTTCATTGTATTTTCAGCTATGTAATTGTTGTGGAGCATGATCTTAGTGTCTTGGATTACTTATCAGACTTCATTTGCTGCTTATATGGGAAACCAGGTGCATATGGAGTTGTAACTCTTCCTTTCTCAGTTAGAGAAGGAATCAACATCTTCTTGGCCGGATTTGTTCCTACAGAAAATCTTAGGTTCCGAGATGAATCTCTGACCTTCAAGGCAAGATTATAAATTTTGTCCCTGAAATGCTCTTTTGACTTATCATTACTTTGTGATTTACTTTGTTGCCTTTACTAGGTTGCTGAGACTCCACAGGAAAGTGCCGAGGAAATTGAGTCATATGCACGATATAGATACCCATCGATGACTAAAACTCAAGGAAACTTCAGGATTCGTGTGGTTGAGGGTGAATTTACTGATTCTCAGATTATTGTAATGCTGGGGGAGAATGGAACGGGGAAGACAACGTTTATCCGTATGCTGGTATTCTTTCCTTTTCATTTTATATTTCTTCAATCATAATCGCATTGCAGGTTGAGATGTTGAGTTAGCATATATTTGTCCAATTTGCAGGCTGGCCTGTTGAAACCTGATACTGTAGAAGATTCCGATGTCGAAATACCTGAATTCAATGTTTCTTACAAGCCCCAGAAAATCAGTCCAAAGTTTGCGTCCACTGTGAGACACTTGTTACATTCAAAAATCCGCGATTCATATACTCATCCCCAGTTCATGTCAGATGTGATGAAGCCTCTTCTTATTGAACAATTAATGGATCAAGAGGTTGTGAATCTCTCTGGTGGAGAGCTGCAAAGGGTTGCATTATGCCTGTGCCTCGGGAGGGTAAATTATTTTCATTTATCTTCTCACAAATCATTGGTTAAGCTTTTTCATGTATCTTGGTTATGAATTTTGGACGCCTGAAAATCTTCAATAAGCATTCATTATTATCAGTTTCGTAGGTTCTTGACTTTCAACAAAAGGAGAACAAGTTGGTTTAGTAGTTTAGTTGAATAATATATTTCTGTTTTTGGAAAATCAGAAGTCGTGTTGGCTTTTTCCTATTTTTAGCCATGCAAGTATAGAGTAGGAAGGGAGAGATTGGGTTGTTGATTGAATTTATAAAATGG